TTATTCATCCTTTATTTTATTTTATTAAAATGACAAAGTATAGCAAAAGATGCAGTGTAAAAAGCTCTATAATTCACATAGGACTACTTTTCATACAATTCTAATTTTTGTTTTCAAAGCAGACGAAATTCAAAGTAGTGAAATTTCAGCCGTGCAAAAAATAGTAGCAGAGAATCGTTCCTTTTTTGAAAACAAATACACTAACTTTAAATATGTAAAATGAAGAGTTTTCCTTGCTGAATCTAGTAAAATTTTTAAATAAGAGATCTTAAATGATAAAAAGATGAAATAAGGAAAAACGAATATATTTTGTATACCAATATATCATTTCCACACGATCGAAATTCGATCGATTATCAGATTTTGAAAACAAAAAGGTACAAGTATAAAAAAAAAACGATCTTATATAAACTGTAGAGCTTTTCAGGTTGCATCTTTTAGTATATTTCACTTTTTTTAAATAAAACATATTAAACGGAAAATACGCGAAAAAACGTTTTTGATCATTGATTGACCAACGAATTTTTCGCAGCATCGAAATCTGATCAATCAAACTCTTAACTACTTTGAAAACAAAAGATGCAACTACAAGAAAAATAACCTTATGGAAATTGCAGAACTTTCCACGTTGCATCTTTATTTATACTTTGTTTTTTTAATAATATAAAATAAAGGATGAATAAATCCGAGGCAAAATGCGACCATTTATTCTGAGACATTCGTTAACTATTAAAAGTAGAAAAAAATTAAATAGAATAATACATTTATAAAAAAAGAAAGTTTTTACTTTATTGTTAGATAAATCTTATAAAATAAATTGCTAAATTGTTTCTTTTCATAGAAAAGGTAGAAATATACATTTAATTACTATGTATGTGAGAGAGAGAGAGAGAGAGAGAGAGAGATTCATTCTATTTGAAGTTGCTAGATGATGAATCATGCAATCCATCACAATCAGATGTGATTTTTTATGAAGTACGAAACACTTCCGCATAATTTCGAATATCATGTGTTTACATTGACATGATCGAAGAAAAATTGTTGTTTGATTGAAAAGCAAATGCAAAAAAAGTTTACAATGAATCTCTAGAACGAACGAACAAAAAAAAAGAACAGAACAGAGAGAAAAGTGTATATATAGGCTGAAAAACATTTTTTTCCAATGCATGCATGTTAAGTCAAAAAATAAATATTAGTCTTCGATGTATTAGTAATTTCAGTACAAATCCATTATCCATATCACAATTTCGAACCGATCTCAAACGTGAACGATATTTTCTAGATCTTATACACTCTTTCAGCAATGTATCGACATAAAAACAAAGTAAGAAATTGTTTTGTTAATTAATGGAAGTTCACATTCTAGTAACTCTGTTAAAGTAATTAAAAAATGTATGTAAAAATTATCTTTCAGTTGAATGAATTCAAAAGACAATCTCTAGTTGTTGTTTATATGTAAGGAAAGCTGAATCAATTAGGTTTTAATTCTTTGATAAATTTATGATCAATCATGCAAGCGGAGAACTTCAAATACTTTACCATAGTTAGCCGAATCACTTCATAATTATGTGATTGTTACAGATTAGAAAAGATATTAAAAGCAAGAGAACAATAAAAAATAGAAGAAATGCATTGTTATGACAAACTTTAGTCATAAACTCCTTGTAATATGAAGTTAGTTCATATAATGTCGAACAACATGTATATTATTTAATAGAGAAAAATGAACCTGATCTATACTATATCTTCTCAGAGAATAATATGTGATCTTTGATACGTTTATTATTTTGTTGCAATAATCTTTGAATAAAATATGTAACATATATAGATTTATTTATTTTTTTGGAAAATCAATCTTAAAAAGTTTTTTTTATGTAAAATTTTGATGGAGTATTTTAATGGATAAAAAATTGCCATAGGCAAGAATACTGATACTCTGTATATCGATAACTTTATAGATAGTCTACATAGATGCTAATTTATGACTTATTATGTCTTAATTTCTATTACACAGATTGATTTCTCATAATCGAATAATTTTTGAAAGAATAATAAATTTTTTTGAAATCACATCAGTTGAGGAACTTTTCTCCAGAACATAAGAAAATCTCAATTAAATTGAACTATGTATGAGTACTTATTAGATATGATGAAGAAATTTATTCATTGTTAAAATTTAGTTTCTATTGAGTTTATATATGAAAATGTCGAAAGTTCATTTAGATTGTAACACATATATAAATACCATATCTGTGTATATCAAGTTAAGCCCCGCCTCAGAAACCAACATTCTCATTTCTTATTCGATTTTAACGAAAATTTCAGAAAATGATAGTCTTAGCTCGGGTAGACTGTGGTTAAAATATTTCTCCAAATTTCTGAGAAACGAATGAGTTACAGTCAATTTATTGGTCAAAAGTAGCCACCACGCGGGCAAGCTTTTCGATATAAGAATATTGGTTAATCATGTCGACGTGATATTTAAATTATAGAGTGTCCTTAGGGTCAGATCCTTACAAGTTCAAATTTTCAAATTTCTCTTTGTTTGATCTTGAAAAGTAATTTTTCAAAAAATGTTCAAATACAAAGTGCTAATAAAAATGAAATATCTAAGATTTTTATTTTAGTTAAAAGAGAAATTTAAAAATTGGAGTTCGTGAGGTTCTAACCTTAACTGCTTGCTATACAATAAAAAAATGATCACTTCTGCATTGAGTCGTTATTGAATAAGGCTTGTCTCCGCAAATAGTATGCTCAAAAAAACTAATTTTGAGAAAAAGGCTAAATAAGTTTGAGAAGTCTATTTTTGTGAAACATACCTGAATTACATATTAGTGTTTAGGACAGGCTCGGAATATCTAATCTTAATATTAACTTTTAATAGTCTCGTAGTGATAAATATTTAAAAAAATTTGACGAAGTACTAATAGAAAAAGAAAGCAGCCTAAAAACATCGAAGAAATTGTAAAAACAAATACTATGAAAATTTATCGAAAAATATGGTAGTAGGAAACAAGTTTTATGCGATAAGTTTGTTAAAATCAATTTATTTTGCGATAAACTATAGATATTCTGAAAGAAGAGACTTCGCTGGATCTTCCGTTGATAAAATCTCAACTTCGACTTGTCTTTGAAAAATTTGATTTTGTGAGGGCGGCAGGAGGGGGGTCCTTAAATAAAACATTTGACAAACAATTCTATACGACCAGATGATTTCAATTTGAATTTATTTCGTTTTATTCTCTAATTATATGTAAATTTATTACTCGAATATGAAGTCATGATTTTTTTCATTTAGTTATGAATTTATTTAAATATAGAATTAGAAAGAATTTTTATTCTTATTTTATGCATAGGTACCAATGGTAAAACAAGACTTTCTGTTATTACCTGTCGAAATAGTTCATCGTATTTTTGATTATTGCGATGCAGAAACTCTTCTTTTTTCAATTCGTTGTATTTCAAAGTATTTATGTGCTATCGTTGAAATTTATGATCGATTTGCTCTTAATTGGAGATATACATCAAAATTGGATGAGCAATATATTTCTCATTTAATTCAACCTGAAAAAGTTGTTTCTTTGTCTTTCTTTGGATATGAAAAGATTCAAGATATGTTAGATATTGATATAAATCAGTTTACTCGACTTCGATCATTGACATTTATTCATATAAATGGTATAGAACTTGATAAACTTTTCTCAACAATGACTATTAACAGTTTGATATCAATGTCAATCGATTTATGTCATATATCTAATGTTCAAACATTAATTCCTTCATCTTCACAATTCAATAACCTTTCACTTTCTCAATTTGCTTTGCATGAAGTTAATAAAGGAATCCGTTGGATAATGTCACCATCTATTGACAAATTAAAATATTTACAGATCGACATTTGTTCTTATAATGAATATGTTATAATATTATATCATTTGCCAAACTTACGAATACTTCGAATAAAGAATTTTACTATGAATGAATCAACATTGAATTTGAATGTTCAATTTTATTCATCATTAAAATCTCTTCTTATTACAAATAGCTTGATAACTTCGGTACAACTCGAATCTCTAGTAAAACTTACTCCTAAACTTCAATATCTAATGATAAAAAATGACAAATTAAGAAAATTTGACTCAATGTTTGACGGTTTATTTTGGGAACAGTTAATTAGGAATCAATTAACTTTATTAGATAAACTAGATTTCTTTTTCTGTACCAGTAGTTATAATGATCAAATTAATGACCTTCGCTCAATCGTTCTTCCATTTCAAACACCATTTTGGATGACTAAAACATGCTGTTCTGTTACATGTACCTTTCTAATAGAATTATGTCAAATTTGGCTCTATACAACACCAAAAATCACTCCTAATCTAGAAATTTCGGTTAGATGTGAAATATCGTCGATGGATGAATTACATCATTTTATTTCTGGACCCATGCATATTGGCTATAATACAAAAGCAAATCAGGTGTGTATAGGAAGATTTTATTTAAATGTTAATATCAACAACAAGTTACTTCATTAGCCTAAACAATTATCAGAAGATGTTCATACAGACAATATTCTATAGAAAAGACTTTCAATGATAGAACTTTTAAAAAAAAAAGATTTTATTAGCTTAATCTATAGAAACAAATATTTTCAACTTTTATGGATTAATATTTTAGTTTCTACTTAAAGAAAAACTAGAATTGAACTAAATACCCTATACTAATTATGCACAATGAAAATAGCAATAAATGAACAAAATTGTCTTATTTTTCGTATAGAACACTTCTATATAGAGAATTCAATTTTTGAAAATTTTCATCAAAAAAAAGTTATATGAAGACAATGTCATTAGCTAATCTTTTTGAATAGAAAATCTAAAAATATCTCTAATAAAATATTGAATAGATTACATAACAACTAATGAATAACTGTCGACTTCATAGTTCATAAATCTTCTAGGATAGTAACAAATGTTTATACTTCTCTTTTTAAAATAGATAATTACGACACTGAAACTATGGTGTAAAGATCTCAAAAATGATGGAATACGATATCTTGCAGATGCTTTACGACACAATAAAGTAATTCCTAATCTTTGTTTATTTCTTTGAAATGTATTTTCGATTCTATGAAGACACTCACAGTATTAGAATTAGGTCCAAATGATATCAATTCTAAAGGAATAGAATATCTAGCAAATGCCTTAACTGAGAATACGGTAATTCTCAGTTTCTCGACAAATTTTCTATATTGATTTTTATTGTTAACATCTAGACACTAAATACATTGCATATTTTTATCAATCCAATCTTTGATGTTGGAACAAAATATCTTGCTCTAGCTTTAATGCAAAATAAGGTCATTTATTTTTAATCAACTTTTTCATTTTTCTTATATAAATTCTTTTCTTCGTGGATAGACTCTCACCGATCTGAAAATCTGGGCGAGTATAGTAGGAACTAATGGTACACCATATATAGCTCATGCATTACGTCATAACACGGTAATCCTTAACGTTTCTTTCATGATTTTTTTTTCTTTCATATTCCCTTTTTTTTTGCAATTAGACACTGACTACTCTGGATATTTCGAGAAACAATATAAGAGTTGATGGCGCTGAACATATTGCTGAAGCATTATGGAACAATAAGGTTATCTTCAGTTTGTTTTTTATTTACCATATATATTGATCTTCTCTCTCTCTCTAAATATAGGCACTTACGAAACTTTCTTTTACGGGTAATTATATTGAAGACACAGGAGCACGATATTTCGCTGATGCCTTACGACATAATACTGTAACAAGAGTTCTCTGAACACTTTCTCATCTATATTGATATTCTTCTCTATAAATAGACTCTCACCATGTTGGAACTTCGCAGCTGTAACATTCAAGATCATGGAGTACAATATCTTGCTGATGCTATAAGAAATAATACGGTAGTCTTTAATCTTTTTTGCTTTTGATTTTTCGATATAAATCATTTATTCGATACATAGACTTTATTAGTACTTGATATTGCAGAAAATCCTATTACAGACATAGGTGCTAAACATTTGGCCAATGCTTTACGATATAATAATGTAACAAAAGATTCTGTCAATATTTTCTCATCTATTCATGTTTGTCTTTCTAAATCTAGACTCTTACTACACTTGAACTTCAGAAATGTAACATTGAAGATAGCGGGGCACAATATCTTGCCGATGCTATTAGAAATAATACGGTAATTTTCAATCTTTCTTATAGTTTTTATTTTTGATATAAATTGTCTACTTGATACATAGACACTACTTGTGCTTGGTATTACAGAGAATTCTATTAGTGAGAAAGGATTTCAATATTTTTCTGATGCATTAAAAATCAACAAGGTGATTTTTGTTTTTTTTATCAATCTATTTTATATTCATGTTCGATGCATACAGACACTAATCAAATTGGAAATGATTGGGATTCCTATCAGTTGGCTTCAAAAAAATATGCCATGGAGAGATAAACGAATCCTTATTTGAATTGATCTTTATTCAAACATTTTTCTAAATTCAATGTGAAATTTCACTTTTATTTTATTTTTATTATTTATTCAATTTAAATCAATAAATTTTGCTCGGAAATAATTGTATCTCACCTGGTATAGATTTATGGCAACAAAATTTTCAATGACGAAAATTATCTAGTATTTTTTTAGTAAAACTCCTCTAACTACCAAATTATAGATCCTCCTTATTACTTATCAGACTTAATGCAACACCGAATTATATTTTACTTTGAAAAGATACGAAAAGTATATTGTCCAAAATTTAAACAAGTAAATGATTGTAGTTCGAAGTCTTCATTAGCTAGGCGTTGTAAAAATCAACATATTATTTGTTTGTTATCCTATCTGAAAATTCTACGAGTTCACATGAATATGTGTTCAACTTTGGAAAATAGTAAAACTCTGAACTCAGAATCAAACTATAGTTCCTCTCTCCATTCAGTATTTATCAAAGAAGGGTACGGGTTTAAGTCCATAAGAATACCTGATCAACACTTACATCCAAAGCTTGCACAGACAGCTACATTATTCAGTGTGAAAATAATAAATATAAATTTTAAAATAATTTATCTTTTTCGAATAGGATAACTTTTCATACTTCATCTTTGTGTATTCTGTTTTTTATGTAATTGACAATAAAAATATTTTAAAAAAGTAGTCGTCGGAGTTTTTTAGTTGTTATTGGAATTGCAAAACAATTTTCTCTCCGACTACCTTTTTATTTCGATAGATATTGCCTTAATCTCAGTAAAAAATTTTCACGATTGTCAATCGGATTTTTCTACAACAAAATCAAAATTAAAATCGATTGATAATTTTGGATTTGCTATAGAATCAATTGATTTTAATTAGAAAATTCCACACTGAATAAGTAAAAAACTAAAGTAATAGTTCAGTCGTGATCAACAATAATCAAAAATTATTAAGCGATTTTAATTTTGACTTTCTTGCAGAAAAATCCAATTGAATATCGCAAAAAATTTTCACTGGGGGATGTTGGAACTTTTTAATTTAATTCTGATACGAAAAGTACCTTTTTCGCTTAGGTTTTAGTTTGTTGTTTGCTTCATATATTAAGCAAAACTTATGTACAATTGAAACATGACCGATACTTTTCCTCTATTATAAAACAGCAGATAACAATATACAATTAAATTATAAATTTAGAATTTCAATGATGTAAAGTAGCTTGCAGGTTTTTCTTCTTTTTGAACTTTTTATATATACTATTGATTATATATTTTTTGTTTAAGCCATTGTTGATGATTGCTAA